TACCTTTGCTAACCACAGCCATGTAAAGATGACTGACTACCTGCAAAGGCAGTTAATTATCTCTGACCATAAGACCTTAACACACACAGACAACAATGGCAATGCATGGAATGAGTCATGCAGCTGATTAAGGAAGTCGCAAATCGAAAAATGAGAAAATGAGGTAATGTCAGCGCTAAAAAGTCTTTCAAACAGTCCTTATTACAAAATGTTTGAGAAGGAATATCTTATTCAGCATGGCAATAAATTAAGCAAAAATAGACAATGTGATTCATTGGAGGAACATTGAAATATGAGGCTTTAATTCATAAGCTACACCCGAGAAATGGACATTTAGGATAGTTTACAACAGTCCTTGGATTACCTATATAAAGAAAACAATATATAAGCAACACACAAGCAACATTAACCAATCTATTGTATGCAAAGCTTTTAATTCATTGAGCAATGCACTTCTACAGTATAAATCATAACATATTTTATAATATTCACAAAAAAATCATCCTCATCAGCAGAAGCAGAGATACACTGTTTACTAGGAAGGGTGCAGCCACTCAAATTTTATACTTTGATTTTTGACATCTTACTATTTAAAGGTATGGAGCAATTACTATTGAAACATGATGTATATGAATAATGAAAATGGAAAGACAATATCATGTTCCAGCAGGAGGCCTATACTTGTTTTTGACCTTTTGAAGTAATACATAAAACCAAACTACTCTCTTGACATGACTGTATATGAATTTACATAGTACACAGAGTACAGGTTTTCGTGATCTTTGCACTGGAATGTCGTTATATTTTAAGCAAATACATACACGCATCAACACATTTCAAAGAACTACGGCCATGCAAACTATTTGAGAACTTAAACTACCAATATCGTATTCCATTTCTACACTTGTTAGTCTGCAATACACTAAATATACAGGCAAAGAAAGATTGTGAAATTAAAAGAATTTAAAAAGTGAACAAATAAATGCTGTGCAGTAATAATGAACTTGAGTGGCATTGTGTTTAACGCAAGAGAACCGTTAAATGAAATTGCTGTAAAATTTATATTATTACGTTATTATGATATTTGAACGGTAATGTGACGTCTTAGTTCAATATGATCGTCTGTAGCCTAATAAATAACTGCAATGCACCGGAGATAAACAATTCCGGGTTCCACTTAATTTAGTGACCTATACAAAAGCAAATACAATTTATGAAACTCAACGCGAGCAATGAACCAGAATGAGGGGGGAAATACCGTGAACTTAAGAAATGTTTATTAAGACTGTCCTAGCCGGGAGCAAGGTCTTTGGGAATATTACATATTTCTAAATAAGAATTAAGAAATGCTACGCTTTTTGAATGAGAAATTAACATTTTAAGTTATTTCATGCTATTGTCCGGTATGGCCACACTAGAAATGAAACAGCAGCCTTTCATGGAGAGATAAAGATGTGTAGTAGCCTGCATTTCCTACAATACGTGGTAATTGTTAACGGCTTATTACAATGTTTCCCAAAAGTGAAATGTTGCCTGTTCGTGCGGAATTCCCTGTTTTAAAACAGCCAGCCTCCATGGGCATCGTGACCAAGTAACAGATTAGTTAGAAACACGATGGATAAGAACTATAGGCTCGTATAGGAATACAGCAGCTACTCGGCGCACTATTTCATTTACACAGGTTACAAAAAAACCACCAACCTGCACCGCTAGCCTATATAACGGTAAACACTCCACTTCCGGTAAATAATGAGTTAATTGAAACAATAATGCTGATCAACTCGATTCATGATCTTCTCTCTTACGCTTTGCTTAGTTCTTCAGAAGTATGGGAGAAATCGGAGTGCGACTATATAAAAACGTCTGCCAACGAAATCTCGCAAAATAACTAAGGACTAAGCTGAATAATGAATAGCATCGATGTTAAACACATGGTAAAGAAACAATAACAGCCCACACACCTGTGTAGTTCCCCCTGTCCCGAGTATGCGATGCTCTGAGCTCCGGTAGCAGCGCAATGACCATGAAGACCGTGAGCCCAACGTGACGGCAGCCAGTCAAAAGAGCAGCGCTCCTCGCTGGAACCAAGCTCCTCAACATGATGCAAGGAAAAAAAACAAATAAAACAGTCAAGGCAACTGTTTACCAACTTCTTCGGCTGAAATCACAATGTGACGCAAAATAAATGTAGGACTATAGAAAGAGAAATGCGGAGAAGGAGCAGCGCTGGACACCGCGGGCTCCTGGAGGCTCCGGAGCGGAGAGATGCATCAGTGCAGGTGCGGAGAGGAGACGTTTGGACCGTACAGGCACCTCCCTGCTTTAACCCCGGCCACCAGACCGCAGCTGCAGACTGCTGTGCTCGCTACGCTTCCCGGGATCTTAAAATCACCCTGCCAGCGACGTCCCCGATCTCGCTCCCCCACCCTGCCCTCTCCATGTCTCCTCCTGCCTGGAAACACAATGGAATTTTCTTCGGTTCTTCCTTTCTTGTTTCTTTGAAAAAAAGAAAAAAAACATAGAATAGGGGGCGAGGAAGGACCCGGCGTTCGGTGCTCCAGAATAAACCACAACACGGAGTACTCAGTAACCGGGGAGGGGGGAGGGGGGCAAGCCCCTGGGGGCCATCTGAACAGCGACAATGCAAAGTTTGGTTACCTTAGCACAACTTTACACGTCATGTCACCGCCGTTGCATACGACTCTATTAAAGCAGAATAGTAATTTAAAATAATCTTGAGATTACTGTAGAGTTTCCTAAACGTACATTACACTATACTGCATGTGTACTATAGTAATCATATAATTATACAATATTTCTTCTAGTAGCTTATTATTTATACAATAACGACAACTCGATGATGATTATTATTATCATTATTATTGTGAGGAGTAGTAGTAGTAGTGAAAACTTTGGAATATATGTCATTAGCTGATAGACCTTCGTAAGTCTACCTTACTTAAACTATTAAACCGCCATGTAAGTACCAGAGACAGAGAGAGGGAGGGAGAGAGAGAGAGACAGAAAGAGGGAGAGAGAGACAGAGAGTGACAGAGATTACCGTTCACCTGGCAGCATTATAGTATCAGGCGCCCTGCCAATTGGATTTGCTGTAACAAAAGGTTTTTTTTTTTTACGTTTCAATAAAAATACCCACAATTTCAAAGTTTTAATACTAGCATAGGTAATTAACTGTTTTTATTAATTGAAATTGATAATTAATCACGCATAGGATCAGTTGCTTTACAGTGTTATATTCTCAAATGATCAAGTATCGTATCTCAGGAGAGGCACATTGCCGCAGCCAGGAGCCGAGTATCGAGTGGGAGGGGCAATGTCAAGTGGGAGGGGTAATGTGGGAGGGGTTTATAACGAGGAGCCTGTTATCATCTGATAACCCCCGTAATAACCCCCCCTACCCCTCGTTATACACCCCTCCTGCTCGACATTGACCCTCCCACTCAGCACTGGTCTCACGGATGCAGCGATATATACTTGGTCTTTAGCTAGGCTAATAGCATTACTACACTGCTAACATGAAGGGACGACGGTACTTGCTTCAGGAGAGAAACCTTCAAAAGAAATTTCCAGCAAATTATATATTTTTTCAGGCTCCAATAGAGAGAAAGAGAAGTGTGCCCCTGTCAGTCAGGGCCCCTAAAAATTTAGAAATGTATTTGGTTTGGTCTGGGTAGGGGGCCCAATATGATACATTGTCATAGAACTCAAAATCTCTAGCAGCATTCCTGGCCTCAGGTACCTTGTTATGTTTGCTGACACACACAAAAAAAAAATGTTAAGGGGGCGGGAGGCATGATGGAACTGAAGCAATTCCATGAAATTCCTGCATAATCGGGTGACTTCATTCAAAACACATCGGCTGGGAGAGTGAGGCAATTCTTACTTTTGTTCGAGCTTCTTATCAACAAAGCAAAAACATTGAAAGTGTTGAGTAGATTTAATGAAAACTGAGGCTAAGACTCATTGCATTATTTGTTAGAACAAGAACGTACGTCTTAAAATGTTAACCTAGAGTAACATTTTCTGCTGTAATCGGGAAAAATGCACAAATCACATACTTAAATGACACACTTAAAATAAAAATGCACTTGATTAAATAGGCCTAATTTAAGTCCATTGTTGTTAATGTACCACTTTTAAATGTATTGCAATAAGTTTAATTTTTTACTACAGGATTACAAAATGTGAATATGAATCTTGCTATGATGGACATCAAAGTCATGTATATGTGTCAAAAAATGAATAAAACAGAAATAAAAATAAGTAGCCAGAAATAATGGCCTCGTTATGTTTCCCGTACTCCATGCTTCGAAATAAATAAAATAATACTTTTTAATAATTTGAAAATGATATGGATTATTTCCACCACTAGAGGGCACTACTAGTATATGTATATTATGTCATAAACCAAAATTTTATTAATTACTGATATTCATATTTTTCCGTGTTATGTCCAAATCATAAGTGCTGCAGGGAACTAAATTTACAGGGAAAGAAAGTATTATTATTAATAAAGTAAAATAAAAAGCAATTGACGCTTACAATATGTTAGTCCATAAAATTAATTGTAAATAAAATAAATTACCTGATTGTATAATATAAAATTTCATATAACATTTTTGAATATGATTTGAAAAATGTATGCCATTCATCAAATTCAGGGTTGTGTGCCCTTTTTAAGTGCTGGGTGACCTGTGTAAAATAGAAAGCACCAAAGGCATATTGATCCATTGTCACAAACTGTTAATTGATTTCCTGAGTGATGAGCCCTCCGACACAGTTAATTAACGGGCATCTCACAGGAAGCCAATGAATCATATTCAAGTATCTGATCTGATATAAATATGCCAGACATCGCATAGCTATTTTTTTATTCATGAGGTCGTTGCTTTGATGGTGCACCAGTGCTGAGTCTCTGCTAATCTGTTGTTAAGTTGTTAAAAGAAGAGCCTGCCGTGTTTGGTGTGAACAGCACCAGAATGAGTTCCTGTTTCCGCAGTGAAGAGATGTGTCTGGTGCAATTATTCTTCCAAACGGAGTCAGCCCACAACTGCATCAATGAGCTTGGACATCTGGGACTTGTGCAATTTAAAGACGTGAGTAGGCCTGTTGTCCAAAAGTCACGATAATGATTAAACTTTTATTATTATTATTATTATTATTATTATTATTATTATTATTATTATCATCACCGTCATCATCATCATGGCCATTGTTGTTATCTATTGTACAATTGCATGATCCTGTTTTTGTTTAGATATGAACTACATATGAGCAACAAATGCATCTATATGATCCATACATACTTGCTAATATGGACATTTTGGTAGAAAGTATAATTTTATTGCACTAGATATTTTAAATAATTTAAATCATAATGATTTGTTATGTTTTATTTATACTTAAAATTAAAATGGTCACATATCCTATAATGCAATACTATGACAATATGCTCATTTATTCATGTAAATACAGTGATAAATGTAATTACTGTATGGTACTTCTAGCTGTCACTTGTAAGTGAAATCCCAACATTTTTTTCTACAGTTATTTATTAAACTACTATTTTTTTTTTTGGGGGGGGGGGGCAGTGGTTCACATTTGTTGTAATCATGTTGCATCATGGTGCCCACTGGAAATAGTCGACACACCATCAAAAGAATTTCTCTGTGGTATCACTTTAGTGTTATGATACCTTTACAGAATACAGAATGCAAATCTCTCTGTACTCTCTCTGGCAAAGAAAACAACTATAAATGTCAATTTATATTCAGCCTTAAAATAATATGTTGTTATGAGATGGATTATGAGTATTTTTCCTTTTTTGCAGTTAAACCCTGATACAACCTCTTATCAGAGACGATTTGTAAATGAAGTTAAAAAATGTGAGGATATGGAAAGAATAATCAGTGAGTAATTTTTTGCATAGAATTTCCATGCATCCATCCATCCATCCATCCATCCATCTTCCAAATGCTTATTCCAGTGAGAGTCGCAGGTGTAGAACATGAGTATGCATTAAACACCTATTTTTGTAATTTTCAATGGAGATCATTCATAAGAACACTGGACAATATGTATTTCTACAATTATATATTTTTATTTTTAATTCATTCTCTCTAGTCAAGATCCCTAACATAGTAGTATAATGTGTTGCTTTGCACTTTCCAGTTAATCAGGCTCTAAAACCAAGCTACCACCAAGAAACAATAATGCAGATTCTGTGTATCTTAATGAACCACAGTCACAACATTACATAAACACCCAGTAGTCCCATTATTGAACTTGGGAGTAATTGTGTGTACTGCTGTAAGCTAGAAGAAGATCAAAAGTCACGACAGCTCATGGAATCAAACAGCTGAAGGCATTTTGTCTTTTATCTGCAGTAGTAGCAATTGTAGCTCTAAAATGATTGTTTCCCAGCATTTTCTCTCAAAAGCTATAAAGCATAAAAAGCGAGCTGATCAGCCTTTGCTCTAATGCATGCCCTCTTTCTGACGCTGATTTCTCTGGGACCGAGACAGATAACACGCTTACACTGCGTTGTTTGGCTGTAATAATGTGTATTAGGAGGTCAATGGAGAGTGCTCCTGTCTCATTCCTCCACATTTGAGGTATTGAGTCCTGTTTGTCTGGAGTCTCCTTGTGACTCTATTTTGGTTTATCCTTTGGTTTCCTCCAGCCTAAAAACATGCAGTTTGGCTAAGCAGTGTCTCCACATTGCCCATAATATGCATGTATGACCTTGAGGGACTCGCATCAAGTCAATGGTGCACCCCCACCCATGCTGCCCATGATATAGCCCCCTCCACCCCCAACACCACCCCCACCACCTAACCCAGACCAGGAGAAATTGTTGTAAGATGGATGTATATCTCTAAGTTGCTGTTTGGCTATTCTTTTTAGTGTATTTTTGAACATTAATTAAACTTGGTTATTTCGCACTAATGTGTAACATTTCTGGATACAAGAACTGGTTCACATTGAGAGTAAGATGCAGCAGATTTTTCAAAACGAGGACCTCTCTCCATGAGCTCTCTACTGAGTTACTGTACAGCTATCACTTTGTAGTAATTCACCAAATTAAGGGACCGTTTAATGGGGTCAGGGTCATTTGGTTGTCTTTAAAATCATGGTATTTTTAAATGAATTTTTTATTATTATTTTTTTTTTGTAAAAAAACATTGCATAGGGATTCTAAGAAAGGAAATGAAAAAGACCAACATTTTTGTTGCTGAAGCGTTGCAGAGTGATAGAGGTCCTGGCCCAAGGGACATAGTAGAGCTGGAGGTAAGAGTTCTGACTTAAAGGTTTGATTGCCGTAGATGACTTGCCAACTCTGTCCTACTTCCACGATGACTCGCACAGGCTCTCGAACTTCCCACTAATGAAGAGCAGCTCTGTCCAAGGTGTCTCTCCAATTGCCCTGCTGCATCCCAGGTAATTGAGTGTAGCTAATCTGCTGCCACTGTAACTCAGTCAAATCACGAGAGATGTATCCATTTAGGTGGAAGCGTGCAATGCAGACTGAAATGTGGAAAGGATTTTCTATAATGGAACTGCAAATGTGAAGCAGATGGACTCATTTAAGTGGAATCACACTATCCAGGACGAAATGTGGGCAGGCTTTCCTGGAAGACGACGTACACCAAATTCATGGTTGGCATTTGATGGGAGATCAGAGGGTTTCTATATTCTCCAAAATTACGTCAATTTCCAAACAACAGCCCTTAAAGCATGAGAATCTTTCGTCATGCTAATATTTGTAGAATAAAGAACACAGAAAATCAGTTCAGCAAGATTTAATTTGTATTTCTGCATTTGCTTTTTTCCAAAGTAATCCATAATGTTATCTCATTTGCTAATGAAGAAGCTGTTTTTGGTTTTAATTCTAAACCAATGTATTCAAGGTTTGTCTTTGGAGTACTTTAAGAATAAGGACTTCATCTTAAAATAGGAATTGCGCTTAAAGTGTCTTCCAGAGTGTGGATAATGTACGTCTTGCATTATGAAGCCATCATATTAATCATAGCTTCTCTGGTGGGACTCTCCCCCCTTGGTCATGATTTAAGAACGAGCCCTTTCTCTGGTGTATCTCTCTACGGAGGTACATCAATACAGTGAACATCAATCCATTGCGAGATCCTGCTTTTAACTTGCTGTTGCTCATTTCAAATGAGATATTCTCATAAGGAAATACACATTTTAGAAGAAAATATCAGTATATCAATATAAACTACAATATAAAAGATACTAAGTTACAAGGATGATGTCTAAAATGAGCCGGATATATTTATCCTAGTTACTAAAACACCTCTTGAAGGCCATCTCTACCTGGTGAGAACCCCATTCTCTGTATTCCAAAGATCCATCTCCGATCTTGGTTGCTCTTTGTAATGAGTTCAGGGTCATTACAGGGCTATGAACAAGATATGCGATTCGATGAGGGATAGTTGGGGACCTTCCAGATCCCCAATAGAGTGAAATTGCACAGGTTGCCCATGATCAGAATCAGGATCATTGGCCAAGTTTGTGGACACACACAGACGATTGTCAGTGACGATCATTCTTACAGTATATACTGTACGTACACAGTTAAGACAAGACAATAGTCACATATAGTTTGATTTACACATTACAATATGTATGTGTAAATGATAATGCATAAAAAGTGCAGAAGTGCATGTCACTGCATAGAATGTTGTAGTAGAAAGAGTATATACAAAGGAGAGGTGAACATCAATGATCCTTTCAGCCAACCTGACTGTTTGTTGTAGCCTGTGCTTGTCATTTTTGATGTTTGACTTGAACCAGACTATGATGGGCAAACTGAGGACAGATTCTGCGATTGTTCAGTTCACCCATCACAGTCTGATTTAATCCTGCATTAAACCTTCCAATAACCTCACTATTTATATAAAAGTTGTCTTCAAAATAATGCTGATTATGTATTTTTTTATGTAGACAACCTTTACCAAACTAGAAAAGGAGCTAAAAGAGATCAATTCAAACCGTGAGGTTCTCCGAAACAACGTCATGGACCTCATGGAAATGAGCTATCTCCTGCACATGACTGAGGAATTCTTTGACGAGGTAAACCAGCTGATTAGCAATCACTTTCAATAGCTTGAATGTTTTGCAGTACTGCAGGGAGAATTTACCCCATATTCCATCTATTTGAAATATGGTTATCCAATTAGGCGCAGTGGGGTCTCAGACCACTAGTGAAAGATTTTCATTGCATTCTTTTATAATTAAATATGAATTAATATTCTAATTAAATATGAAATTGTTCATTACAAATTATATCATCAGCCTAACAATTTGATTAGTTGAATAGTTGAAAAAATGTAAATGAATTTCAGAATTTCTTATTATTTGATATGCTCCCTTTTGCATGACAGAGTGCATTCGAGCTGTGCAAAACCTGACGATCCATGGGACCCAGCATGATTTGAGGCTGTTCCAAAGATAATCTGTGTTGTTACTGAATGCTTGACTTTCTCAGTCTTCAGTTCCCCCCATAAAAATCATTACATTTTACTGCCCAAAATCTCAAACTTGGTCTCATCAGTAAATTGGACTTTTTTCCAGTGATTCATGGTGAAATGCTGCTATGTCTTAGCCCATGTCTTAGCCCCTGCCAAAACTTTGCTTATTTCCTGGATTAAATGAACAAAATCCCAGTTTTTCAATCAAGGCATCAGGCAAGTGATATTTTAGGGGAAATGCCAGTGAACTGCAGGGTAGCATTTTGCAGACACATGAAATGCACACACACATCAGTGCACGCACACATGAAATGCACACACACATCAGTGCATGCACACATGAAATACACACACACATCAGTGCACGCACACATGAAATACACACACACATCAGTGCACGCACACATGAAATACACACACACGTCAGTGCACGCACACATGAAATGCACACACTCATCAGTGTGCATACAATCAGACACACGATCACACATTAAACGCAATTCACAAACGCAAGTACAAGTTCTGTTTTGATGAAAGATATGCAATAATTATCCCTGAGATCCATTCTCAGTGTATGGATTGTTAATGTTCGAGGGCCTTTTTAGGGACAATTTTTCAGTGTTAGGTAGTTGCAATACAAGAAAGGATCTTCCAAATGATGCCCTTACTATGACATTGTTCCAACTCCTTTTGTTGCACATGTTGTATCCATGTGCAACACGAACCCCGCACTATCTATCTATCTATCTATCTATCTATCTATCTATCTATCTATCTATCTATCTGTCTATTGATCTATCTAAAGATCTCTTAGGATAAAAAGAAACTGAACATTTTTGCCTGGATTATGTCATTCCCTGCTTCCTCACTTCCTGCTGTACTTCAGGCTGAGTCCCGGCTCTCCTGTTCTGAGCTCCCATCAGAGGACTCTATAGCTGCCTACCCCAGGGTGGCCAGCCGTCGTACCAGCAGCTGCAGTGCCAGCGGTCCCCTGAACCTTAGGTAAATAATGCAAATCTTGCCATTTGGGCAATAATGTGGTCTTGACAGCTAACAGGGTCTTCCAGAGTTCTTCTTGACATGTTTGCTTATGGTACAATGCCGTGATTGAAATGCCAAAATGAAGTCATATTAGACAGCGATGGCGGCTGCTGGAAAGCATAAAGACAGCTGAACTATAAAACTCACTTTATTTGGGGTGTCATGTTCCCTAATTACTATAGTAATTGTATATACTGCATTCTCCGTCAAACTGCTTTTATACTTAGCGCCAGTCCACCCTTTACGTGACATAGGTGGCTGTCTAGGGTGCCATCTTCTGACAGGGGACCAGCTTAGTGAGCCATCTTCACTTTGTCTTAGATGGGGGGGCTTGCCTTAGGCAGCATGCAGGCTTTGACTGGTGCTGTTCATACTACTGAAAGCTCCAAAAGAGTTTGGACCAAATTCAGTGCAAAAACCGACAGAAAGGCTAAACGTCAGCAATTTATTGGCCCAGTAGTGTCTTTTAAAGCATATCCTTAGTATAAAAGCCCCCACATGTGTTGGTTGTGTCAAACTATATGCCGAGGAAAGATTTCATTGGGTTATATCAGTCTCTATAGCAAAGATAATCTTTCCTTTTATCTTCCCTGCAAGGTTTGTGGCTGGAGTCATCAGGCAGGAGCGCATTCCTGCCTTTGAGAAGGTCTTGTGGCGAGTGTTTCATGGGAATTTCGTCCTGCGACATGCTGAGATCCAGCCCCCTGGAGAATCCCCCATGATAGTAAGAAGGATTTAATTGCTGTCTTTGGCACCGCTTTTATGTTTTAGAGCTCATAATACTGAGGGTTTATTAAGGAGAAATCTCTTAATAAAGTCATAGTGTTTCGATGTTTCCTATTAAATTTAAAGGTCAGAGTCGTTTGGATTTTTTGATGATAAACAGTCATTACTTCCGGCCACCACATTTGTTACAGTAATTGTCCTCTAGTGGTTTGTAATACAGAAACCAATGCAAAGTTCAAAAAATGTTTTCATACAGGCAGAATCCAGACTACTTTAGTATTTAACAGATTATGACTAAGTGCTATGTGTAAACAATCTTGGTAGATTTCACTGATCAGGCAGCTGATTAAAATTTTGAACTTGTACTTTTACTACCTGGCTATGTTCCAGATCAGTAACAATGAAATCTGGGAAGGGGGATTCAACCCCACAACTTTACTAGAGCCTTAACCATACATCCATCTATCCATCCATTTTCTGCCATTTATCCGGGGTCAGCAGCCTAAGCAGGGATGCCCAGACCTCACTCACACCAGCCACCTCCTCCAGCTCCACTTGTGGGAGATATAATCTCTCCAGCATCTCCTGGATCTGCCCCGTGGGCTACTCCCTTTTGGACATGCCCGAAGAACCTCCCCAGGGAGCCGTCCAGGAGGCATCCGAGATAGATGCCCGAACCACGTCAACTGGCCCCTATGATGCGGAGGAGCAGCGGCTCTGCTTTGAGGCCCTCCTGAATGTCTGAGTTCCTCACCCTATTTCTAAGGCTGAGCCCAGACACCCTGTGGAGGAAACTCATTATATCTGCTTATATCTGCAGTCTCATTCTTTCAGTCACCACCCGGAGCTCATGACCATAGCTTAGGGTAGGAACATAAATTGACTAGTAAATTGAGAACTTTGCCTTCCGGCTCAGCTCCCTCTTTACTGCAACAGAACAGCGTCCGCATTACTGCCAAGGCTGCACCAATCCATCTGTCAATCTCCGGCTCCCTTCTTCCCTCACTCATGAACAAGACCCTGAGATACCTAAACTCCTCCGCTTGAGGCAGCAAATCCACCCTTGTCCGATCAAGAACTACGGGCAAACGTCATGGCAAGAAGGAAGTGGTGCCGGGAAGTGCTCAGAGCAGACGCAGCCTCAGGAGGTTGTGAGAGATGCTGTCTGTGTCGTGGGTTGGGGGAGAGTTTGTATGTGTCTGCTTACCGTTGGAGTTTTTGACAGTTTGGTTTTATGTGTTTTTAAATTATGAATCTGAGACATTTGGGAGACATTGGTCCTCATCCTGGCTGCTTCTGCAAATCACCCCAGTGTCTGCTGCAGGTCACTGAACGATGGCACCAAACAGGACCACATCATCTGCAAATCACCCCAGTGTCTGCTGCAGGTCACTGGACGATGACACCAAACAGGACCACATCATCTGCAAATCACCCCAGTGTCTGCTGCAGGTCACTGGACGATGACACCAAACAGGACCACATCATCTGCAAATCACCCCAGTGTCTGCTGCAGGTCACTGGACGATGGCACCAAACAGGACCACATCATCTGCAAATCACCCCAGTGTCTGCTGCAGGTCACTGGACGATGACACCAAACAGGACCACATCATCTGCAAAAAGCAAAGATGCGATCCTGAGGCCCCAAATCCGGCTCCACTCAACCCCTTGGCTACGCCTATAAATTCTGTCCAGAAACAGTCGGCAATAAAGGGCAGCCCTGGTACAGTCCAACACCCACTGGGAACGAGTCTGACTTACCCTCAGTAATTGTTTCACTACTTCAGTCTGGCTCAGTGGGCTAAGCCTGTGTGCCTGTAATCAAAAGGTCGCTGGTCCTTGAGCAAGGCCCTTAACCCCCAGCTCCCTGGGTGCCGCTACAGGTGGCTGCCCTTCGCAGACAACTTACTCTACAAAAAAAAGAAAGGGAAAAAAAAGAGCAAGTTGAGGGAGGTGTAAAGACAATTTCCTCAGAGGTATCAATGATTATTATTATTATTCCAACTCCACCTCCTCCGAGGAAGGCATATCAGTGGGATATAGGAGATCCTCAAAATATTCTTTCCACCGAAAGGGCAAGGCGTCCCACTCTACTTCCTCCAAATAAGGTGTACCAGTGGGATTCACGAGGTCCACAAAGTACTCTTTCCACCATTACTGTTATAAAGAGTGTGACAGTCCATGGATTCATCAAACTTGTCCCACACCTGAGTTTTTACTTCTGCAACTGTCAAAGCTGCACCCTGCTTGGCCTGTCTGTACCTGTCCACTGCTTCTGGAAACCCTACAAGCCAACCAAGCTCAGAAGGCCTTCTTCTTCAGTCTGAAGAACCTGTGCCACCGGGTTTGGGGGGTTGCCACTGCAGCAGGCCCTGAAAACCTTTCAGCCATACTGTAGCTCTGCACAGCTACGGAAGCCAAAACACTGTCTATTCAGGCTCAATGTCTCCAGCCTCCCGTGGAATGGAAGTTTTGTTGGAGGTGTGAATTGAAAATCTTTCAGACAGGGGCCTCTTGCGAATACCCCCTGCATACCCTTACTATATGTTTGGGTCTTCCCCCAGCCTCTGATCCAACTCACCACTAGACGGTGACCAGTTGACAGCTCAGCTCCTGATTTTACCCAAGTGTCCAAGTCTTATGGTCGCAGATCTGATGATACAACTACGAAATTGCTTACCCAGCTATGGTGTTCTAAACACCCTTATGCTTGATCATGGTCTTTGTTATGGACAAGCTAGCACAGAAATACAATAACAGAGCACCACAGAGATTGGGCAGGCCATTCCTTCCAATTACACCTTCCAGGTTTCACTGTCGTTACCCAAGTGAGAGTTCAGATCCCCCAGGAGAACTATGGAGTCCCCAAAGGGGGCACCTTCTAGCACCCCACCAAGGTCTCTAAGAAAGGTCGGATACTCTGAATTGATGTCCATAGAGTCAGAGCCTGTCCCCAAACTCGAAGTCAAAGGGAGGCAACCCTCTTGCATTACGCTGGTGTACAAGCACCAAAAATTCCACTCACAAGACATCTCTTACACCGCAAGGGCAACTCCAGAGTGGAATGGAGTCCTGCCCCTCTCCAGGAGATTTGTTCCATAGCTTGTGTGTTGAGGTGAGCCCAAGCATTCTCTCAAGCTCCTTTCCCAGGACAGAGGTGACCTTACCTTAGCCGGGGCTCAGTCTGCCAAGGCCTCTGCCTCCACAATGCACCAGACCTTTATGGCTCCTCCTGTAGGGGGGGGCCCACAAAATTACAGACACACGTGGCTCGTTTGGGCCATGTGTCACCTGGCCCATGGGTGAAAGCCCGACCACCAGGTGCTCACTGATGAGATCCCACCCAGGCCCAGCTCCAGGATGGGACCCCAGTATCCCCAGTATCCCAATCCCAGGAGATGTTTCTAGTTTTCCATAATCTTTTGTTTATTTGAGCTCTCAGGAAAATGGATAGCATTTAACTGAAATTATGTCTGTGAAGAATATAGCAATTAGTAAAAATCAGTTATGTGAAATAGAGGTTGACCGATATGGGTTTTTCAATAGCTGATGCCGATGCCGATATTTAGGAGTCAGGGTCAGCCGATGGCCGGTACATGCTGCCAATATATGCTCCGACACAAGAAAAAAGAACAGAACTGATAACATTGGGCTGATATGGCAATAATTTAAATTTTAACAATTAAAATGATTTTTAACAATTAAAAAAACGCTGCCAACAAGTGCACAAAACTAACTATGTCAGAATCAATGATCCTTATCGTTACCTGTAAGCTAAACTTGGTTGAAGGCACATTATCATTACGCCAGTTCCTGACAGTGTAATTTGTGTTCTCTTTCAAAAGTGCTCACGTTTTCTTTTAAAGCAACATTTCATAGCAAACCAGTTAAATAAATAGATCTTTGAAAGATCGGAATTTAGGCCTTACCGCAGGGGTGCCCAACTACAGTCCTGGGGGGCCGGAGCCCTGTGTAGCTTAGTTATTTCCCTGTTCCACCATAAATGATTCAGTTCAAGAGCTGTATTTAATATATTTAATACACCACTTTTCTTAAAGTAGTTGAATAAAGGAGTAACTACCAAATGGATAGAACTTAAATAGAAATTAATTTTTTAGAGACCTAAGTCACAGGGATCCAAAAAGCGGGATTTAAACAATACAGATTTTGATTTAACTGTGCTCTTAGTCTCAAAGGTATCAGCTGAAACATGAAAACAAATTAAAAGTTAAATATTACCTGATTATTGTCAGAAATTTTTTTATTGCATTTTATTCAAGTTATTATATTTATATTTTTATTTTACTTTCCATTTCAAGGAGGATTTTGTCAAGAAAGACGTCTTTATCGTGTTTGTGCAGGGAGACCAGGCTAAAGGAAAAATTAAAAAGATATGTGATGGGTAAGTAAATCGTGAGTCACAAGAAAACCGACAAACACTTGTCAGATGTGCTCTGATCATCCAGATGCAGCTAAATGATCAGGAACAACTGCGATGTGAGGTCAAATATGGTTAACTGGTCATCTGTCATTGTCCTTAAGTTCTTAGGAACCTTTGACAGAAATAATGTGGATAATCCAAGCTGGGTGGTGATGGGGAGTTGAACAGTAGGGATGATGTGGAAGTCATGAAATTATAACACTTTGGTAACATGGTGTATTTTCTGCCTTCTAAACCTTCATTTTTGAGCAGGTTTCATGCCAGTATGTATCCATGTCCAGACACAGCAAATGCTCGAAAGGACATGAGGAACACTGTCAACACACGCATAGAAGATCTTCAAATGGCAAGTTTCCATAGTGCGTGGGCTAAATGCTAACTCAAGGGGTGCTCACAGAGCCACTGTTTTGTTTTGTTTCCATCGTGGTCAAGAGTATATAAGAATGGCCAAACCACAGTCCATAGATGTAACAAGGTATCAAGCTTCAACAGTTTCATCAGGCAAATTCTACTTAAACAAATCAATCTTTGACTGCAAGTGAATATTAAGTATTACTTGTGTCCACCATTTCATGTTTTCATTATCCCAATCCTTCATATCATCTCAGGACTCTTGCCTTTCATGTGAAGGTATTGCTTAGAAATGGAAATGCTTTCTTCATTGCCCTTTTGAAAAGTTCTAGGACTGATGATATACATATTTTTAATCATTCATAGCTAGGTAATTCCAGAACACCCTTGATAAACTAAATGCTACCAGCAAAAAATGTTTTTATTTCTGTGAATTTCTGTGTATTAAATGACTGAATAGCATCCTTTTTGTTGCACCCCTTTGCTGCTGAAGGTCGTAAAGAGGACAGAAGAGTACAAGGAGAGCGTCCTGACTGCGGCAGCAGCACATCTAGAGGAATGGAGGACCAAGGTCAAGAAGATGAAGGCCATTTATTACACGCTGAACCTCTGCAACACAGATATCACTCAGAAGTTAATTGTGGCTGAGATCTGGTGTGCAGTGTCTGACCTCAACAAAGTGCAAGCTGCATTAATCGAAGCGTCGGTAAGTTATGAGGTATTAAGCACATAAATATGTCTGTAGCTGTATATACTAGCTGGACCAAGAGATTAATTAAAGCACGCTTAGTCTGATGAGTGGTTTACTGATTGATGAACAAGTTAATTCCATATAAATTTTCCCAATTTTATCTCAGTTTATGAAACTGAACTAATAATTCTGAATATGAGCAGTAGGAATATATTTCATGAACATTTTTTGATGAACCATTTTATTGTTCAACAGAGAGGGTTATGTTAATGCAAGTGTTTTTTAATGTAATAATTATCAGTTACCTCTTTTTCTTAAATGTGCTAGTTAATCCACATTTGTTATTGTCAAGTTAAAGAGATCAATGTGATATTTAAAAAGGTATAAAACCTGAAAAATATTAACTTAACCAATAGAATAAGAGTAAGTTTATATTCCATGATCAAATGTTTTTCTTGTTGAAGAAAGTATTGAGTAAATAATGTCGTTATAATGATGTTATAAGAAACAAAAATGTTTTAGTTCAATTTGTAAGAAAATATTGGCTTGAATCTTCACGATAAATGTAATCATTTACATTTAAGCATTAATTAAAGTAAATATGCTGTAAATAAGTGTGTTGTATGTTGTATGGAAACATTTTGACACTTAATCAGTGTATAAATATGTGCAACACTGGAAAACGCGTACATACATAACATTCATCTGTGCAAACGTACAACAATACTGTATACTTTTCTTAGGTAATTTGAATTTAATTATTTATTTATTTATTTATTTTTCTTTTTCCTTTTTTCTTTCTTTTTCTTCTTTTTTCTCCTTTCTTTCCTCTTTTTTCCTACTTTTTCCTCTTTTTTTCTTTTCTTTTCTTTCTTTTTTCCTTTTTTTTCAGAAATTACCTGAATTTATGACTACAAAATTCCCATCAATTTCTCTCACCGAATTGATTTTTGAATCACTCTCCCTTATGAACAATAACATATAAAATTTAACTGTTGTTTTTGTGAATATGATTTATTTGTTTAAAATTAATTTAATTGTTTTATTTTAAATTAGTTAAATTTGAACTTGACCAGTGAATTAAAAATCACTAGCCGTGGGAATGTGCAAAAAAAATATTTTTATTATTGTAGCTCTATGTGCATATTGTTATGCCGAAACTGAAATTTTGTGATTTTATGCTAATCTTGGTCACATAAACATACAAACAAAACAGAATTTAATTCTACATTCTGTTTATATTGTTTTTATAGCACATTTTCATTAGATTACGAAAATCAAAGAAATTTACCTTTATTATTTTCTATAAAGAACTCCGATTAAAATATAAATACATATTAATAGCTTCTTTGTGCTACTATGAAATTGTCAGTTCCAGTCTTTTGTATTTCCCCACTGTACTGTATTGAGTGTGTTTGTATTCATGTTCATATTTTCTGCTCACACAGAAGCAGAGTGGATCCAGTTTGCATCCAGTCTTGAACAGAATACACACCCAGCAAACCCCACCAACATTTAACAGGGTGAACACTTTCACTGCAGGTTTTCAGAGCATCATCAATGCCTACGGCGTGGGAGATTACCAAGAGATCAACCCAGGTGACCATTCTTCATCCTATAAGTACAGATCATTAATGTATCTATTGTGAGATTGCTGTTTTTGGGTTGTGTTGAGTTTTGTATCTGTATCTATATTCATTTATAAATATTAAACATAATGAAATTTAAAGAATTTCAAAAATTGTGTTAAAATTCATAAAACAGCTATCAGCTTCAGTATTTCATCGTTAATTTGCCTGTTGCAATGGCCTTTGTTTTCTTTTGAATTAGTTACTGCGGGGGAGTGTTAATGACTCTCTCGCTCTCTTCTGAAGCTCCATACACCATAGTGACGTTCCCCTTCCTGTTTGCTGTCATGTTCGGGGACTGTGGCCACGGCCTCCTCATGGCTGTCTTGGCCGTGTGGATAATCTTCCAAGAGGAGAAGTTTAAAGAACTGAACAATGAGGTAACGTATCAAAAGCTGTAGTTTGCACGTTCCCTCTGTGTTGTGTGGGTAATAAGTCCAACAAGATTGTTTTGTATGAATGGGGTGTGGTAGCTGATCATCTCCTGACCCCCCCCCCCTTTTTATTTAAGCTAGAAAAATAAGCAAGAAATCATACAGAATACTGAACTACAGAATGAAAACACTGGACATAGATTGGGAGAAAAACTGTCAATGGGCAGAGGTGGGTAGTTCAGGTCCAGAGAGTACAAGTCCAGACCATGATTTTCTTTCAACCCTGTGACTTTGACTCTTTACAGTCAACTGGTTGGTTGAAACGAACCTGAACTACCCGCCTCTGCTGGTGGAAGGTTTGGGAGGTGCAGTGCAAACGACACGGGTACATGCTTCCATTGTGCCATTGTGCCTTGTGCGGGCTGGTGGTGGTAGTTTGATGTTATGGATGCGTCTTAATTGCAGACATTGGGCCCCTTGGATAAAAAACCAACAATGGCTTGTACAGTATGTCACATCATAGATAAGTTATTTTGGTTAAAAAAAGAATGTTAGCACTGCTGCCTCACACCTCTGGAACCCGGGTTTGAGTCTCTGCCAGGGTTCCATGCGTGTGGAATTTGCATGTTCTCCCCGGGCCGTTGTGGGGTTTCTTCTGGATGCTCTGGTTTTCCCCCACAGTCTAAAAACATGCTAAGGTGAATTGGAGATAGCAAATTGTGAATGGCGGGTGAGCGTGCCCATTGGTGGGTTGGCACCACATCCTGGGTTGTTCCCTGCCTCGTGTCCTCAAGCTTCAGGCCATATGTGACCTAGCTACATTGTGTCTTTCCTGGATACAGGAGCACAGAACTACCTTAAAAATGCTTGTAGATCTCTGTTAATATCATAATCTTTCTATCTGTAAATGTAGCCTTTGTTAATGCTAATTTCAGCACTTAGGGTGACACAACAAGTGACCCTGAATCGGTTAATAGATGGATGGATGAGATCTATGGATGTTGCCTTGGGTAACGCTACATGTCTTTGTTTTAGCTACCAGCCTCACTAACATGTTAGCTGTCTTTATGACTGTGGAATCTCGCATTTCTTTTCAATTTGTGTATTTTCAATAATGGATCCAAGAATTATTCGCAAATTTTCACATTCATAGGGATCCTCCGTTGCCTAACCCTTGCAAATGTGAAGGGTTGACTGTACAATCTTTGGGTACTTTGTCTAATTTAGTCATTCAATTTTCAAAGAAAGCACAAATGAACATTTCAGTTTTCTTTGTGCAGAAATATATATTTAGGGTGAACTCACTACCTCACAACCTTCTTGTGTTACCTTAATTATTCACTGGGGAGGAGGGGAAACACTTAAACACTTAATTGGCTCCACAATACAACGTGCCAAATGACCATCATTGTAACGGGTGAATATGTATAATGCTTTTTTTTCATACCCCATCTTCCTTTCAGCTAATCAATGTCCTTGTCAATGGCCGGTACATTGTTTTGCTCATGGGCCTCTTCTCCATCTATACTGGTCTCATCTACAATGACTGCTTTTCAAAGTCCCTGAACATCTTCGGCTCAGCCTGGAGGGTCAATGCTATGTTTGAACCCTCTGGACCATGGACGTGAGTTGCGTGCTATTTATGATCATGCGTCCATTGGAGTAACTTGGCCTGTGTATGTACACTATATGGCCAAAAGTATATGGACACCAGCTTATCTAGCACCTCCTTCTGAATCCAAGGGTATTAGTTTGAAGTTGGTCAGCCCTTTGTTGCTATAATAGCCATTACTCTTCTGAGGAGACTTTCCATTAGATGCTGGACCGTCGCTGGTGTGATTTCAGCCATTCAGGTTGGCTGTTGATACTGACTTATCAGGTCCCTGCCTGTGAGCTTGTGGCTGACCCCGTTGTAACTGAACTCGCTCCCATACATTTTAACATTCACAGTCAGTTCTCAAACCTACTTGTTGGAAAGATGGTGACCTATGATGGTGCCAAGTGGGAAGTCACTGACCTCTTCTGTACAACCAGCCATTCTGCTGCTAACCTTTGTTGCGGGAGAATGTGATACTGTGTGCACATTTGTGTTAGCAATGGGTGTGGCTTAATTCTGCAATTATTTTGTATTAATTTGGGTGGATACAATCTTTTGGCCACATAGTGTATATCCAAAAACACAGTGCCGCGGAACTTTTAGTTTTGTTAATTAACTGAATATTGAACCGTAATATTATCTTGACCTAGTATGGATTACATAAAGAGCTATTTAAATAAGCTAATAAATAATTTAAACATAAGTTTTATACTTGGGGAAAAGTACGCATTAGGAAAGTATCTAGAGACTAAATTTGTTTAGCCAATTATTTAAATTTAGAGAAACTTGCTTCTGTAGGCTGCCCTAATGAAATTTTAGCCTTGCAAATAATGATGAATAAATTGGGATGTCATGTCATTCATTAAACTGCAGAAACACACACTTGCATTTTGTTTTTTGTCATTGCTCACTCAGGAACAAGACGCTGCTTCATTGTGAAGATCTCCAGCTGGACCCCCTGGTCCCTGGGGTTTACTCTGGGACGCCCTATCCCTTCGGCATAGACCCGGTCTGTGGGAGGAGTCTCATTTTCCTTACCCCTCCTTCTTCCTTGGATATGAAAAATAAGGGTTTCTGTTTCCTTTTCTGAGTTGTCATTGCTTTGGTTTTACCTGGAAGATGGGTCTTCACACCACAAATAATTTAATTTGCTTGCATTTTTAGCCAGGACTGGAAAAACACATTTATTGTAATGTCAAAGATACAAGGCTGTTTTGCCCAAACATTACAGCAATATATAATGATAATTATATAGCAGCAATTGCAATAGTATGAAAGCAGAGAGAGACTAAAGTATATATGCATGTATGTGTGTATATAAATACACATACATATGTACGTTTCTGTGCGTGTGTGTGTATTCACACACACAGAGCTGTGGAATAAATTAAGAGACCACCATTTTTAAACAAATCTCCATTTTTAAATCCTGGTTTAATTGTGGTTTTGCTGGCATAAGGCTACGCTTCCAAGTACAGAAATAAAAAGCAATTTCTAGGACAGCAGTACACAAGACACAGGTGAAGGAGGAGACACTGGGAACGACAAGAAACCAGCCAGGTAAAGGGCAGAAGCGACTTTCTAATGTCAGAGATGACCGTCAACTTATCCGACAGCTTCTCATGAATCGTAGGATGACATTAAGTGACCTTCAAAAGGAATGGGAAGCATTAAGTCTGTGAAGTGCACTGCTAGGACAGTTCATATCAACTTCCTAGAAGCTGGACCCATAAAGCAAGGAATAAGTCCTTCATTAATGAGAAACAGGGAAGAACCAGGCCGCAGTTTGCAAAGGAAATATATATATATGTTATTCACAATATATATATGTTATTCACAGACACACACCCATAAATTGAGAAATGAGTGAAACCAAATATTTTGCCGTGGCCTCTAAATTTTTTCCAGGGCTCTGTTTATGTGTGTATGTATATATGTACAGTATGTAACTGGCTATTTGTGAGCTAAAAGGCAAATAAGTAAATAAATAAATAGAAAGTGCACCATATTATTTTTTTTTTTATCAAATTGACCCAGAATTGAGTTTTTCCATCATTTGATTACCCTAGGCTGCCCTCCATAACCAAATCTGTCAGATGTTCCCTGCTGTGTTACACTAGCTATGAGTCAATTGCCTATTAATAAACACGAATATAGAGGCATTGCCTTAGTCCCAAGACAGCGGAGAGATTAGTAGTCTGAGGCAACTATGCTGAGAAGGAATGCAATCAAAAAATAAATTGAATTGAAAAGGTTGGTTAGAAGAGAGTGTTCTCTTGCAGGCAGGCATTCTAAGAAATGGTTTGATTCATTTGAACTGTAGGTAACACATTGACTTCACAGTCTACAGATGCTAATTAGATTTCTGCAATTCTAACTGTGATGAGAACTGCTCGCAGAACAATTTCAGTTGGTCTGGCCAATTATTTTTTAGTAAGACTACATGTATTAAGCACAGTGCCATTACAGGCCTTTCTACAGCTGTGTTGTTACTGGTTCTGGACCCTTAGAGAAGCATGTTTTTCATTATGCTCTTCACAACTGCAGTTATGCATAAATTCTGTATAAATTAAATGATAATCTTAAGTACACAAGCAAAGATTTGTCTAGTGAGATAAACTGAAATGAAACTCTATTTCAGAGTGCAGCCTGCAGCTATTAATGTTCTCTGTCTTTTCAGTTTTGTGGTCTGTGAAATAGAATTCCAGTGAATGATAAAGTGGACCTAATTTAAAGGATAGCTGTAGATCTGCATGTTGTTTCTGTGTTGTCTTCTATTGAGATCTAAGTTTATTATCCTTACATAAGTTTAGTGGTAGAATCAACAGTAGCCTTGCACTCAGCTTCAAGTTCAGGTTTGTTCATGTTTGTCCCTAACCCTAACCCTAACCCTAACCCTAACACTCTTAGTTTTTATGACAAAGTATATATTTTTTGTCTTTGACATGAATTAATGTTGTTCCAGATTTGGAGCATAGCAACAAACAAGCTATCATTTCTGAATTCATACAAGATGAAGATGTCAGTCATACTAGGTGTGGTTCATATGCTCTTTGGGGTCACACTCAGTCTTCTGAATTACATGTAAGTATACTGGTTACAGAGCAGAATGTTGTTGCCACACTTTATGAATATAGAGGATCAAATCATTACATCCCTCTTTGTGTGTGGAGTTTCCTCCAGTTGAACAATGATAAGCATTTAGGCTAGTTGGCATCAGTACATTTTCTGTAGTGTGGGAGGATGTGTCTGTATGCAGAGTGTACCCCAGCCCTGGGTGAACTAGGATAGGCTCCAGACTCCCAATGAAATGGTGAGTAGATGGATGGATGATGGATGGATGGATGGAATAATATTAATAGGAAAAAAAAACTCCTGGCAACTTTGATAAAATTTGGTAACAATTTAATGTTCAATATCATCATAAATAGCCCCCCCCCCCCAGCTTACTCTACAAAGAGCAAGTTGAAGGAGGCATAAAGACAATTTCCCCACAGGGATCAATAAGTCCCTGTACATTATATTTGTTGTTTGTTTTATCTTATAAATAATTATTATTTAATGATATTATAGCATTTATTTTGATGCTGTATTATCAAATATATAGACATTTTTAACTGAGTTCATGAATAAGTAAGTAAAGGGCTTGATAATGACTTGTGGAGTGATCAGACATGGCTGCCTCATACCTTATGCTTCTTGGGTTACGATTCAGCTTCACAATGACCCTCTACTGGACAGATGCTCATGAAAAATGCACGTACAGTATAGTGTATATGGTGGGGGTAGGATTGTGGTCATGCTCTCCTATGGTTCTTTATTGTGTTTGCCTGATTTCCTGTGTCCTGCATAGTGTTAAAAAAAGGTGGGTATATATGTTCATGGACACACCTTTATGCGCCACTGAAAACAGGTAGATAAAGTACCAAACATCCACCCTGCACCGCCACTGAAACCAAATCATCCTTATCATCAGTGTGGAAATGGATAAGTTTATCTCCAGCTAGCACACATGGAGGTGTATTTGCACTGATGCAGATAGCTGGCCTGTTTAATGTTGTATTATACAGCTAACTTTATTTCAAACAGCATCAATCTAGCTTATTAACTGAAAAATGAAGGACCACTCAGTCTGTTTACTATTTTCAGTCTCTATCTGTGGTTTCTTTAGGATAGTTTGCGATCCTTGTGAAATGTTGTCTGATGTCCATTGCACTGTGTGCACACTGTACACTGTACACTGTTTGCTCATAAGCACTGGCTGTGCTGTTGAGGAGTGAAGTGGGAAAGGGGGAAGTGGAGGGGGAGAGGAGGAGATAGGGAGAGGGTGGAGGAGTGTGTCAATGTGGTGTGCTGTTGTAGGCTAAAGCAGTAAATGACACGCTATATTATTGACTCACACTACGGGGTTGACGTGTGTTTATCTTTCATAACCCCGTGTCCTGATATGTTCTCAGATTTCCTCTCACAAACCATAGATGTGCAGTTTTGAAGGATTGGTCACTCTAAATTTTCCATGGAGTGCGATTCTGTGTCGTGGGATGGGCTAGTATGCAAACTACAGTCTATAGACCTATAGTCTATAGGGTGAGAATCCCTAATCCCAAAGAAGGGTTAATGAAGGGTTTTTTCAGTGAGAGACACATTATATTGGTAGGTAGTTCTAATACCTAAAATTGCAAACATTGAGGTGATTATATTAATTGTATTAGTAACACAGTAGCTGACACCTGTGCCATTTAAAATTTACAAATGATTGACCATTAACTTTAATGGTCTTCAATAAATCCAAATAACTTGCCACCCCAGTGGCCTTGGCATTTAGCTCGGGGTATTTTCCCTGTTTGTTTTTCACACTGGCAGGTAAGTTTTATGTGTCCCATGTCCTGTTTCTGAATGGATACCGTATGTCGGTAATGCTGTCATTTGAGAGCAATCAACTCAAGCTATGCCCTTTTAAATATTCATTTTGGCATATCTTCCTCCTCCCTGTCCTGCATTTATGCCTGACAGTCTTTGTTGTTTCGTCCCATGCTATTTGAACATAAAAGCATATTCATAATCATTGTATGATGAACTCTGACATATTTTATTCTTTATATATATATATATAAATATATTATTTATTTATTTATATTTGTATATATTTGTATATTGAAATAGTATTATTTCTCGTTTAACCATTCAATATTTGATATGAAGGTTCTTAATTGCAGATATTTCAAGAATGCAAAGGGAATCCTCCTGCAGTTCATTCCCGAGCTGGTCTTCATGCTCTCTCTCTTTGGCTATCTGGTGGTCCTCATCTTCTTTAAGTGGTGTGTGGAGCTCCAACCAGACACGGCGCCCAGCATCCTGATCCTCTTCATCAACATGATGCTCTTTGCCTATGACGGGCCAGGCGACTCCATGCTTTTCCATGGCCAGGCACGTTGTGCATGAGAACGTGTTTGTTTCTCCTTAATACTTTATCCCAGCATAAGCAGAACAATTAGTCTTCGTCATCTGCCCTCTGTCTTGTGCAGGTGATATACTGACCTAATGGCAGTGATTATATTTATGGGAACAAGTTCAGGCAAATAAAACTACTTACTTGTATTATTTAATTTATTATTGTGTATGTTATCCTACATTACCTCACCAGGGTAGTGATACCAGAATATTATAGTACTGACCTAATGGCTGGGAAGATATTTTCAGGAATAAGTTGACAAATTACTTTGAATTATTTTATTCATTTAAATCTGAGAGATTGTATATTTTGCATTCAGATCTCAGGGATTGACGTATTATGCATTCACCGTATAAAGTGATACATGTGCAGTTTCTTGTACCAACTCAAATATGTATTTAAGCACATTGCCACGTGTCGCTTTGTATGACAAATGTGTACTTTGGTACCAGTTATATCAATCCTTAATTATATAATGCACATTTAGATTCTCTACATTAAAACACCAGTAGTTTTTAGTGGGGTATGTGAATATCATTATGTCAGCGCATGGGCAGCTGATCCTTGGGGGCAGTAAGTATATTGTTCAGATTGAAGTCCTATACTGGAAGTTGCTCCCTGATCCTTCACTTTAAGACTTTTATCCTACAGAAAGCTGTTCAGATCTTTCTGGTGGTCTTGGCTTTTCTCATGGTGCCCTGGCTGCTCCTGGTCAAGCCCCTCGTCATCTACAGAGAGCACAAGACTGCAAAACAACAGGTCAATATTGCCTCTAGTCCAGTGTTGCGACAGAAGCATCAATCAACTAATCAGTGAAATAGTCATGCGACAAATATATTAAACAAATCAAAAATGCACCTGAATGTTTATAGACTTGTCTACCTGGCTAGTTGATTCAATTGTAGACAAAACAAAAATAAACATTTATGGTTTATTGAGTAACATCATGCAGATATGTTACAAGATACTTTATATTTGTAAATTATTCCTTGATTAGGCAAGTCTTGCACCTCCTCTGTATTCTAAATGTTAATGCTACTAGTTTTGATTTTCAGCTAAAGGTTTTAACAAACAAGGTCCCTCTGGAGGTATTCCGGAATTCTGGATATTCCGATTCCCGGAATGACCAGTGTGCTGCTGAAGCTAATGTCTGCACATCCAATAATAACCACCTGGAGAAGGTAGGATATTTTCTCCAGTCCAAATTTTTGCTTTAAATGATCACACTAGCTTGTTATATCCATTCCTAGTCATTGTACAGAATAAACTTGTCCATTAGCTTTATAGGTTCGGAGACATTAAAACTCTTCCTTTCTTGTATGTACTCCTGTGAGTCATTCCCGTTACAAGTCCTGTGGATCAATCAGTGTTCTCTCCCCTTTTCATCCCTTTCTACTACATTAAGTTTTTAGCGTTATGCCTTTTAAAAATAATATAAATAAAAATGATAAAATTGGCTAATAATGACAAGACATTTTTTTTATGGGATGATACAATAATATAGTACATATGTATAGTATATACTATAAATAGGGGTACTCAGTTTACTTCTATTTATTTATTTTGTTGGGGGGTCAATTTGTTTGACCATAGGGGGTTCCCCTTGCTGTATTTTGCTGACCTGGGGTGCGAGACAGGGTGATAGTGAGGTCTGGATTGCATTGTGTTTTGGTCCGGAATATGCCATTTAATACCCCAGGTAGGAAACATATCATTTTATGTATTATATGTATTGTGCATAGTATATAGTCTTATTAACAATACCAAAAAGATTCATGTGTGCATATTTCTTGGACTTAAAAAGTGTAGCTGATAGTAGTGCACAATAGACTCATACTTATTCAAAACAATGACCCCAAACCCCCCCAACGCCCCAGTGGCCCAGAGCTGTGTAAGTGGTTGGAAAATAGAAGGGCAGCTACAGTACATGCCAGTGTAATAGAGTGTTTAATTAGCCATGGTTTCCTGGAAAGGACTTTGTCCCCCTGCTCTTTTAACAAATGCTGTGGAATATTTAGTAACTGCACTGAGCCACACGTCATTGATGTGATTTTCAGTTCTGAATGGTCTACCTGTCATCACCTGAAAACTAAAACTGTCCTATTCATATTTTACACCTGGATTTTATGTCAACTACTGTTGAGACATTCCCTCAGGGGCATCAGCTGACTATTGAAATGCTCTTTAAATTCTGGATTTGTCTTAAACACAAATTTAACTTGTAAGTTTCGTGACACGGAGTGTAGAATGACAGCTATGAGTTTTCGTTGTTAGTACCTATAAAAGTAAAATATTTCTGCCTACAAATTGTAAAGAAATTTGGTAGGAAAAAGGTAAATGCTTCCATAATTTCTCTTACAATGAAAGAAGCAGTGAGTCTATATTCCATCCATATGAGTGTGATGTCCGGGTGTCGACGGGTGAACAAGCAGGCGAGAGAGCCGTGAATAGGACGAAAACGGGGTTTAATCAAGGCAGACAGCAGACACCAAAACCACGTTAATGACAGACCTAGGGAAACAGACTTGAACGCGGACTAATATACACAAGACAAGCAGAGAATAACAGGCAACAGGTGACTACAATCGGGAATTAACACGAGGTAACGTGGGGGGCGTGGCACACAGGAGGATCGGACGAGCAGGTCATGACAATGAGATGCTTAAAAATATTTTTTAATGTCACACCAACACAATAACCTAATGTCACACCCTCATGTGAGACTATTACAATTAAAACAAACCTTAACTGTAAACATTAATATTAACTTTTAGCTAAAACATGAACATTATGCGCAGTTATGAATAGGTGTGATAAGGTTACAGCCTTGGTGACTTCAGAAAATGTTTATCCTTTGACTCCTGTGGGTGAGGATATCTATTAAAATTGACACAAAGTGGAGCGGCTGGAAGCAGAAACGTCCTTGGATTATATAAATATGAATAGGGATGGTGTTAATGCATATAATATAGACCCTTAAGAATGTTGTTCTGTGCGGTGAAGGCATGGCTGCAGAAGCCTGAGCAGTGTGGTTTTGCAGGTCAGCATGGGAGACGTCCTTGTGTACCAGGCCATCCACACCATTGAGTTCTGCCTGGGCTGTATCTCCAACACTGCGTCCTACTTGCGTCTGTGGGCTCTCAGTCTGGCCCATGCTGGTAAGTCTAACTCTACCGTGTAGCTCCTAACAGCCCATTTAAAGAAGTTTAGGAAATTCACTCTTTATATACCTTTTTAAATTGCAAATTAGTAGTCGCATTATTCAAAAAAACATGTAAAAAGATAATTTGATCATTAATCAAGAGTTTAAATTTAACTTACAATTAACTTTTGGTTTAATTTGGTCTCTAATAAGAAGAAGCATGAGGCACATTCGTCCGAGCTGTCAATGTCATCCTGACCTTGGAGATAGCGAGTGATTATCGTGGACTCCATCGAGGCACTGACTCAGAATTAGCACCCTGCCTCCGCTGCCAGCCGCCTCCTCCCCCAGGAGGGCTTTTAATAAACGCAGTATTAACATTTCTGACTGAGTCATAGTTCATATACTAGTTCCTTGTTTTATTATTCCTGTAACCTCTCCAGCTATATAAAAAAAAAAATACGACGAAGTTCTGCAGTAGTGGGTAGCTCTAAATGGTCCCTAAAAGTATCTTCGACAAATAAGGACACTGTAATGACCCACCTGTCCTTCAGAAAAATGACCAAACAAAGAAGATAGAGGATAGCTATCAGCTGAAGATACCACCAAATGATACGGCCAAATGAGAACAAAGGAATGACCTCAATACGTGGAACGGGTTCTCGTCTGGAGCACCTGATGGATTTCTGCTAGTTAGAGTCTTAGCGCTTTGACAGAACTTCCTTGCAGTCACAGGGCTTCCATACTGCTGCTCTGGATACATATCATATGTTAACTGTATAATAAGGTCTTGCAATTTCCACCAAGACCCTTATTTGTACTTAGGCCCATATTTAACCTAAAGGGCTTTTTAATTAATTCATGGTCATCTTTTGGAATACTATAGTTGTTGTGTACTATAAGTAAGATTACGAAGCCTTTGTTAATAAATTTAAACCCATACATGTACATGTAATTTCAATGTTATCGCATGGTTCTACACACAGAGCTCTCGGAAGTGCTGTGGAAGATGGTTCTACGTTCGGCTTTAACCATCACCTCTGAACTAGGGTCAGTCTTGGTGGTAGTCCTCTTTGCTGGGTTCGCCATCCTCACTGTCGCCATCTTACTGATCATGGAAGGTCTCTCAGCTTTCCTCCATGCCCTTCGCTTGCACTGGTATGCACCTGGATCCATCCAATGCAGGGGGGTGTGGCATACGCAATCACAAATGTGGAAACAGGGAATTATTTAAACATATAAAATATGATCCATTTTGAAAAAATAATGCATGCTTTCTGTGGAGTATACTGTGTACTTTTGGTCGTTAATAGATTAATTTTTTCTGGTTCAAATGAGGTCAGTGCAATGCAAAGCACTGTGATAAATAGCTACCAAGATTGCTGAGTATAGCTAATGCTCTGGAGGTTACGAAAATAGCATTTAGCTAGCAGGAAAAAGTCTGAATAAGTATACAGACATTAAATGCTCCTACAGTCCTAGACAGTGATTCAGCCTAATTCTCAGTAGCATTTAATTAGGCCTATTATTTACGTGAATAATATTAATAATTTTTTACATTATTTGCAATGAACTTAAATAGCTTACTTACTGAAGTTCTGGTGATGTAAATGGACCCCGAAAAGCTACATTTAATACATTTAATTTAATTTAATTTATTTATTTAGAGTTGAATAGTCTTGCCCTTGATATTGTTTATGCAGAATTCCGGTGAATGGCATTCCTAATATCCCTTTCTTTTAATGAATAAGTTGATCATTTTGTATTACACTGGGTAGTCGGAAGTTCATTTTGGGTTTGCAGTCGCTTGCCGTTAAGCTCCACGCTGTAATGTGCTGTGATTCCAGCTTGGTGGCTTGGTGGGTCAGCACGGTCACCTCACGCCTCCGGGGCGGCCCCTCTGAATCTGGGCTGAGCTCACTGAGGCCACTTTGCTTGTTCTGCTCATGTTGTACTCCAATTTCCTGCTACATGCAGATCAAGTGAATGGGTGACTGCAGATTGCCCTTTGGAAATTTGCCTGAAATTGATTTTTCTGTAGAGCAGTGCCTAAAGGAGCAGGCTCTAGAACGTCACAGACAGATATAGCCATATTAAAACTGAACAATAGACCAACAGATGTACTGACTATGGAAAAATACTATCTTGTCATTAGGAGGATTTTGGCTATTTGAAATTATCTTATCCATCAGTATATTCAGATTTTGTTTTTGAAACATAAGTGTCATGGAAAAGTTAAAAAGATGATAAATGTAAACATGCCTTTAATATGCTCCTTTAGTAGCTATTATATAGTACAGCACCCTTTCCTGTAAAATAGCCTGATCTTCTTAAATAAATGTTTCTTACACATAGAGGGTACATGCAGTTCCATCTGATGTTTTCCCACCTTTTTCCTCTTTGTTTTACCAGGGTTGAGTTTCAGAACAAATTCTACAAAGGATCAGGATATGAATTCTCACCCCTTTCCTTCACCAAACTGCTTAGTGAAGACTGACCCATCTTTCACCAAACTGCTTATTGAAGACTGACCCATCTTTCACCAAACTGCTTACTGAAGACTGACCCATCTTTCACCAAACTGCTTACTGAAGACTGATCCATCCTTCACCAAACTGCTTACTGAAGACTGATCCATCTTTCACCAAACTGCTTACTGAAGACTGACCCATCCTTCACCAATTTGCTTAGTGAAGACTGACCCATCTTTCACCAAACTGCTTAGTGAAGACTGACCCATCCTTCACCAATTTGCTTAGTGAAGACTGACCCATCTTTCACCAAACTGCTTAGTGAAGACTGATCCATCCTTAACCAATTTGCTTAGTGAAGACTGACCCATCTTTCACCCAACTGCTTACTGAAGACTGACCCATCCTTCACCAAACTGCTTAGTGAAGACTGACCCATTCTTCACCAATTTGCTTAGTGAAGACTGACCCATTCTTCGTATGTGGAGCATAGGTGTATTTGAACAGGAGACTCTATTCTACTGTGATTTTTTTTTTCCGTGTCCATATTTTACCATTTTCAATTCATCCATTTCAGTTTAGAAGATTGGCAAAGGAATGCTATTTATGTATGTGTTGTGCATTTATCTAGTGAGATTTTTCTATATAAGGTAGTTTATGTATTTTGACAGTATGAATTTTAAATGATTATATATACAGTAATAATGCACATATTTAAATCCCCAGTCTCTACATACAATAAACAGTAAAATCTATGCTAAAATTATATTTTGAGGTGAATTAAACTGAAATGACGAAGATATATTCATCTTCTTGGATCATGGATTTTATCTCAAATTTGATATTCCCCATTTACTCAGTGAAGATGATGATGAGGATAAAATTATTAAATAAACAACAAAAAATAAATATCATTCTGGTTACTTACAAACAACGGTTGCCTGGTCCATACTACTTTAGAGGGAATAAATTTAGAGAGAATAATTTTAAAATAAACATTTTTTATGATTATCTCATTTCCAGTTACCTAAAAAAGTTTACAAATCTTATTGGCCAATCAGTGTTTAAGTCAATAATTAAACTCTTTTATTCTTTCTTACATTGTGATTCCTCTGAGAACTTATGTCCCTTAAGGGTGTATTCTTTGAGAACCACTTCATTTCTGCTATTAATTATGAGTTTGACATACATTGTAAGGAGGACCGTCTTTTTTATTATGACTATACAAATTGGTTTTGATAAATTAGCTTAGAACATTATCCTATTTCATCACTGGTACTCTAACACAGAAGCAAACTGGACACATGCACAAAACCCGACTAAACGGATTTTACCTTCATCTATAATATACTTCCCTCTAGAACCCATCAGCAGATTCCGGTTCACAATAATGTTGTGAACCTTAGTATTTTGGATCTTCATTAGTGATCATGCTCCACATTTCAAGGATGACCTAGAAATGAGGGGAAAAAGCAGTCAGCCTGAACTGGGAAGACAACCCACCTAGCTAATGGTCAGCAACCAGACAGCAAGTGTAAAAAGAGGGAAACCAGAAATTCTGGATGTAATGAAGACTTTCTCATATCTAACTCACTTCCACTGATTCCATTTCATAATAATCCTATTAATATTTATGAATCTTTTAAATATATCGGTGGGACAGTAAAATCACTCCTCCTGGGTTGTGGCTTCATGTGCATGTGGAGCTTTCCCTGTGTCTGCAGAGGTTTATCCTAGTAGTAGGAGAACATGCAGTCTGGCAAACAGGTTTCCCATAATGCACTTGCATGCACCCAGGGCCCCCCTGCCTGGTGCCATGTGTTAGCCTGGGATCAGCTCCAGTCCAATTGTGACACCGAACTGCAAAAGCGATTATGAAAAACTGATGTTTGCATTAACATAGATTGTGCTCTTATTTACTCAAAATGATTTATTTTGGTTATTGTTCTCACTTTCCATCTTGAATGTGCTCTATCAAAAAAAAAAAACATGGATATATCTGTTCTTTTGTTCTTGTAAAGACTTATACAGCAGTTTTCTACTGATATGCAAAAAATTCAACCATTCAGCAGTAGCCTAGCTATTAGCAGTGTGAATACACTTGTATGCCTTTTTTCAGACCATTTATCGGTTATTGTTTTGTAGTAAGTGGGATTCTGTAATTTCCAGAATGCATCCACTTATTCGCTTGCACTTTTTAGGTAGCCTACTTGTTTTCAAATTTGGATTAGACATGCATTGTCTACTTTACAATACAAAGATTTTTTTCTATTGCAGGATACCCATGCAAACACATTATCACACAAAGGGTAATTTTAATCACCAATTCATCTTAATGGCATTGGTTTGATTTGGAGGATGAAATTTTTCAAAACAGAATCTGCGCATCAAGTGCACTGACCAACATGGATTATTTAAAAAAAATTTTACCCAGGCAATTGAACTTCGAGGTAAAAAAACAAACCACTTTAGTGACCCGGTATAAATTATATTGCTGTAACCCTGCATTGGATGAATGGTTCTGGAATATGATCCAGATGGCTTCAATGGTCTGTGATCCTAACTGCCGGAGTTCAGCATTCAACACAGCAAACACACTCACAAAGCATATCTTTCTCGATATGGCTTGTGAAAATTGGAGTAAACATCCAAAATCCAGCCACTGCCAGAGCAATTAGGAGTGACATATTGTATACTCTCACAGCAGAAAGTGGAAGGAGACATTAGCGGACATGCAGATGGTCAGTACGCTGTTAGGGTCCTGATTCTCTAAAAACATATACTGCAAGTGCTACAAGGTACAATGGGCAGGATTAAGGTGGTGCCTTCAGCTTACTATCCAAAGAGATGAAGGGATAAAATTACAAGGGAGAGAACACCTGAGGTTTTCAGTCGGAGTTATTTAACAGTCTATATCCTGCTTTTTAAAGGTGTCCCATGTAGGGCATTACCAGCTTGATGTTTAGGTACTAGAATGTTTAAAACTGCTTCAGCATTGTGATTCTATAGAAAATTAAAGTCAAGTCTACAACATTACCTGAGCATGAGTGTGGGGTAACTACATTTTAAATGGTATAATGGAGTTCCTGGTTAACTGCATCCTCAGCAGAACACTGAAAATAATATAGATGTTTGCAGACAGTCAAATAGCAGACACAAAAAAAAACATTTATGGTCCTCGGCATGAACATAGTCATACGTGAAATAACCTACAAAGACAAACATGACATTCTTATTATACTTCAGAGCTGCCTTTGAAGAGCCAGTGAAACAGTACACACAGACCTCCCAACATTGTAAAAGAAATAATCAATGAAGCAAGGCTGCACACAGCACACTAACAGACACGAGTGGTCATTAACTCATCAACACTGACCACGGGCGAGCACTGGAGAATAAAAGAGAGACCATCTCATTCTGAGAATCAAGTGCAAATTTCAACCGAAGTAGAATAATATTGTTTCATCTGTGATTGATTCAGGACAGAATAAACAGAAGCAAATGAGGAAAAGAGAATCATTTATACGCACTCTAAAGTGGAATGTGCCCAAGAGGAAGTGAAGAGTGACTATGCTTGACATGTCACATTGGATGCTCAAAGACAACTCAGTGCTGGCAGAGGAGGGTGTTTCGGTCAGTCTCCAGGACGAATAACCTCCAAATGTAACAGACAGGGGTATAAAAACAAATCGCACAGAGGTTATCTCAGTTCACTTGATTGAAACACAAATTAACTTTGCCTTTTTCACATTGACCTGTGGAGGTAGTTTAGCTGGAAGATATTATGCCTTTGGATGACAGCATTTCTCATCCTGAGTGAGACTAATGGTAAGCAGGTCAAAGGATTATTGCATTATTGTTAATGGATTGATTTCAATAATGTAACCTACTTCTAAGACACAATGCAGTGTGATTACTTTTTAAGTATCACACTGAGAGCTGAGCTGGAAATTACAAATAATCACGCTTAAATGAAGTTACATTGGTCATTTGATGCTGGTATAATGTAATTTTCGGGAGCCTCTCATTGTTGTACAGGAGGCTTTGCTTGTTCAAACACTGAGCTGATAGCACTCAGGCAACAGGAATGTTAGGATGATTCTAGAAAGCAATACCAAAGATTTCCAGGCCAGCAGGGAAATGTAATCCTTCCAGAATGTTCCTCGGCATCCGCTCAGAGGGATGTGCCTTGAGAGCTAACTCATCTTCATTTTAAGGGGCAGAAACTCCATTTCGAGGTTGCCCCGGAGCCTCAAACCCCTCACCCTGTCCGATAGTGTGACTGAACTCAGCAACCCTGTGGATAAACCTCATTTCAGCTATTTATACTTGCAACCTTTTCTTCATGTAACTAAAGAGCAAATTTCCGAAACTCACTCAGCCCACAGGATATGTTTTTGAGAAAATCTCTGTGTTTTGGGAATGTAACAAAAGTTGTATGAGGACTGAGCGGGTTTAGGTTCCCATATGATGAGGAAGCCTGACTAGGTCATTGGCAACAACAAATGGACTGAGTGAATTTTGGAAATTTGCTCTTCAGTCACCCCAGCTGAGGACTATAAGTGCAGATATGAATCTTCAGTAAACTATGAGCCGTTTCTGACGGCTACATCTGGCCACAAAACTACAGCTACAGGTGCATCACTATGTGCCACATCAGTCAGGTTGCTTAACAACAGGTGGCCTGCATCTATACCCCCAATGCACTGTATCACACACTGTTACATCACCACTTCTGCATTTTACCAGTATTAGTTTTACTACATTCTTGTATATTTGCTTCTTTTTCATTGTTGGGCATATTTATTTATTGTTTGCTCATTCTTATATTGGACTGTTTGTCTTGCCCTGTCTTGTCCTGCATTGCACTGCTGTCTGTCCAATGTCCCCATGAACCTGTCCCTTCCCCTGCAACTTTAGCATCAGAATTTCACTGTACGCCTCCCAATGCATGTGACAGTTCAATTTGAAACTTGAAACCAATCCGACCACCCTGTCAAACTCACATTCCCTCTTACCTCATCACTTCCCAAGGCACTTAATCAAGGCACCCCGGCTCTTTACCTGGAAGGAGCAAACCATCCATTTCTGAGAGACCTCTATGATCTTTTTTGATTGGGTGTTGAATCCCCCCCCCCCACACACACACACACTTTACACTTGGCACTGAAATACTCAAGTACATGGAAATATGGAAGACAAGGTTGGGTGAGGCCAAAGGTTGTATGCATAATTTATACGTTTAAAGTAATTTGAGAGAAACCCAGGGAACAAGATAAATGTACAATGTAAAAATTAAATCTGGCTGGGATGGTAAATTTTATTTTTTAGGGTCTTTCAATGAGTGTTTTTAGTGCATCACTAATTCTTAATACACCTTTTTAATATCGTATTAATGTAGGTCTATATTATATATGTATGTAATATTTCCTATTTTATTTTCATTTGTTTTTATTTTATTCTATTTTATGGCTTTCTGGGAAGCGCAGTTTTGTTGTGGATGCACAATAACGATACAGATATTCTATTTGATTCTATTTCCACATCCATCAACAAAAAAGAGGAAATAATCTTGATCCATCCAGATTTGATCCATCTGTGTTTGAATTTGCTGTTGTTTG